CCGGGTCCCGGCGTGGTGGAGGCGGAGGAGCCGCGAGGCGGCAGCCCACCCACCCCGGCCTCCGGAGAGGTGCTGCCCCCAGCCCCCGAGCCCTCCCGGGGGCGCCAGGAAGGCGCCTTGGGCCAGGCCTCAGGAAAACGTGGTCTTAGCTGTGGGGAGTCTCGAGCAGGCCTCGACCCCTCTTCCTAACCGAGAGGAGGCTCAGCGCCTCACCCTCACCCCGTCTTTGTGCAGGGCGCCGGCGGCCATTGTGTCCGGGTGGGGAATGGAGAACCCGGCCGCCCCCCACCGCCACGTCCAGGGCCTTTGGGGAATTCAAAGAAAATCAGCGGCGTTTGTGGGGGGTCTCCGGCCTTCAGCCTCCGGGAAAGGCCCGGGGGCGGCCTTTCCGAAGTCATATCGCAGATCCGCGGCAGTTCCCCGCTCCCAGAGTCCCTCATCGAAATCTTGAGCCCCTTTGAGAAGTCCCTTCTGGGTTTTGGAAGCCTCACCCTGGGCTGGTACTTAAATAGTAAAAAAAAAAAAAAAAAAAAACGTACTAAACTAAACCCATACCAGCCACCTCCGGGAGAGTTCTCCTGGCTCCCAGTAGGAGGCGGAGAGCCAAGGGGCGTGCAAGAGCGAGGGGGCTGGGCTCCCCGGTGGCAGGAGGCCGCGGCTGCGGAGCGGCCGCCCTCGATCCGGTTGATGTAGGAGGAAGCAAGCGAGGGGGCTGGTTCCTGAGCTTCGCAATTCCTGTGTCGCCTTCTGGGCTCCCAGCCTGCCGGGTCGCATGATCCCTCCGGCTGGAGCTGCTTATTTTGCCAGCCGCCGCGAGGCCGGCTGAGTTGCAGGCATCCCGGCCGCCACCTCCTCTCCCGGCCTATGATACAAAAGATCTTCCGGGGGCTGCACCTGCCTGCTGTCGCCTGAGACGGATTTGAATGTAGGTGGTGCGGGGGCGGGGAGACTACCCATGGGGGCGAGTTTCCGAGGAAGGCATTTCGGAGAAAAGGGGATGACTGGGGTAAAAGAGGCCCGTGGGATGACTGAGAGGCCACTGGTGCTTTCAATTTGACTTCATTTGGAATCTTTTGGAACCTAGACCCAAACCTTCATAAGAGCCACAAAGAAACCAGTTCTGGTACCTGGAAGGGGAATGGGATGTTAAAGGGTAAATGGCATGCATATTAATTATTTTTTTTCCTGAAGCTCTTTCTCTCCCTTCAGAACCTTATCTTGGCTTTGGATCTTAGAAGAGAATCACTAAGCAGAGCCCAGACTCAGTGAGTGAGCAGGTGTTTTGGACAATGGACTGGTTGAGCCCATCCCTGTTATAAAGATGTCTCAGAGCAATCGGGAGCTGGTGGTTGACTTTCTCTCCTACAAGCTTTCCCAGAAAGGATACAGCTGGAGTCAGTTTAGTGATGTGGAAGAAAACAGGACTGAGGCCTCAGAAGGGGCTGAATCAGAGCTGGAGACCCCCAGTGCCATCAATGGCAACCCATCCTGGCATCTGGCGGACAGTCCTGCGGTGAATGGAGCCACTGGCCACAGCAGCAGCTTGGATGCTCGGGAGGTGATCCCCATGGCAGCAGTGAAGCAAGCACTGAGGGAAGCCGGCGACGAGTTTGAACTGCGGTACCGGCGGGCATTCAGTGACCTGACATCCCAGCTCCACATCACCCTAGGGACAGCATATCAGAGCTTTGAACAGGTAGTGAACGAACTCTTCCGGGATGGGGTAAACTGGGGTCGCATTGTGGCCTTTTTCTCCTTCGGCGGGGCCCTGTGCGTGGAAAGCGTAGACAAGGAGATGCAGGTATTGGTGAGTCGGATCGCAACTTGGATGGCCACTTACCTGAATGACCACCTAGAGCCTTGGATCCAGGAGAACGGCGGCTGGGTAAGAACCACGCCCCTGTGTGTCCCTTGTCTTCGGTCTCTGGGCAGAGAGAGCCTCAACCACCCTTCCCCTGTCCCTCTTTCTGTTGTATTAAGTGATCCTTGGAGTGGTTGATTGTTCAGAAGACCTGACTGGCCTCATTTCACCGCAAGATGTTAACTGTTGGGAGATACAGATGACCCAGTTCTTGGGAAACCAGGCATCTTTCATTCTGGTCACCCGCAAACCCCACTATTTCAATATTTGGGTTCCAATTTGTCAGCAAAGAAAAACAAACAAACATTTCCATATTTGGTTTCCAATTTGTCAGCAAAGAAAAACAAACAAACAAACATAACCTGCGCATTCATTCAGCCCAAAATCTGTGAGAGTGGAAAGTTAGTCCAGGGTTCCCCTCACCCTGACAGAATGGCTCACCATGTAAAGGGGTGGGCAGTGAGTATAATGTCTGGAGAAGATGACAAGTGTCTATGAGCCACAGACCATCCTGTCTCCCCCAGAGGTGTCAGTTCTATCCTGGGCTTCCCTCTCCCAAGTCAGGTTCTCTTTGTTTCAGAATTTGCATATTTGGTACTCTTCTGTCCTCCTTGACCAGGGCATGGCCAGGCAGGAAGGCATTTCTGCTGGCTTGGATGGTTGAGAACTATCTGATCTTGAGCAATATAGGCTGTGCTGGTCATGTGTATGCTGCACCCCCTAAGTTCATTTCCCCCAAAGTGTGTAACTTTTTGCATGTTTGGCCTGTTCGTGGAGCCTTTGCTGTGTCACACATGAAGCCCCAGGACTTTGTACCTCACTGACTGGGGTCGGTTGGGAAGCTCCAGCTGCTCTACCTGTTCCTTTCTGGCCAAGGCCCTGAGTCCTCTTCACTGAGCACTGTTGGATGGCAAAGCAAGAACCCAGTCAGTGGGGCACTGCGGGACATTGAGATGTGATGACAGTCTTTGGTCACAGGTATGAGGCCTAAGCCTGTCTCTTAACTAACTGGGTGACCTTGGACAGGACAATCTGGTTTACCTTCTTGAGCCTTAGTTTCTTCAGCTAAGCCCTTCTTGCTTTGTAGAATATTGCAGATCCTGGGAATATTGTGAGTGTAGTGACTAACACTAGTAGGGATAATTCTGTCACTGAGTCAGGATGAGATAGTGCTGAGAGCTTCTTTACCACTGGTCACTGTAGACAGTTTTTACTCTGCTTCTGTGAACTCAGCCCTATTTCCCTGCTTATCTCTCTGCCTAGGGGAGGTTCAGAGCTTATGAGAGGTGTTCTGTCCCCTCAGAATATGCAGAAAGTCAACAGGCTGTGGAAAATAAGTCATCTATTGAGGGAGCTGAGGTGGAAGGGGCTGTGCACCATGGACTCGGGAATGTCAAGAATGCAATTGTCCATAGGCTGGGCCTAGGGCGTGGCAGGCACTTCACTTTTTCACTGAGCAAGAGACCTCCTGGATTTGCCTCGGAACCCCACCCCCTCTCTCATTTCCTATTTCTTGCAACTTCATCACCTCTTCTCTGTCAGCTCTTGAACAAGGCAAGGGGGTCAAGTCAGTAGAGGTTAGATGACTGGGGCAGGCTGAGGGAGGTTAAGGAGGGGGGCCTTCCTGAGCCGGGGCTGACCAGACTTGAAAGCCATTCTGTAAATGAACTCCCTGGGGGGATAAATGATTAAATAGTTCCTGTTAGTTTGTGCGATGACCTCTCCTATTCCCTTCTGCTTTGATTCTTTTGGGGCAAATATTTGTTCAGCTGATTACAGGAGGGACAGGATTCCAGGGCTTCAGACACACCCTCTGAGGCATCTCCAAGTAGGGAGTTGGGCTCTTTGCCCACTTTGCCTGACTATTGTCTGTGGTCTGTGGTCCTAATATCAGGTGGGTTGTTGCCAGCAATAAACAAAAGGCAGTCTGGGAGAGGTGCCTGGTCTGCCAGCCAACCTCTGTAGAGGGCTACCCCAACCAGAGAATTGCCAGCTGCCCAGCGTTGCAGTGAAAAAGGCCTTAGACACAGCAGCTCTGAGCAAGCTCATTAGCTCTCCGTTGGATTGAAATTCTATCTTCCATCTCTCTGCTCAAGAATTACCAGAGCTCGTTGGACGACATACCACATGTCACTTCCTCTTGGTGAACAGAGGGGATATGTGTAGAAGAGCCAGTTATGTCAGAACCATATCTGGCCATGCATTCTCCCCCTGAGGTAAAGAACACTCAACTCAGTGCTAGGTGGAAGGTACCCACCCACTTTCCTCTCAGGTACCATCCTGTTCTGAGCTGCAGAGTCTAGCTACTGCAGTGACATCTCACAGCCTTCCTGAAGGCTGCAGTTGAGAGGTCTTCAATGTAATACCATCCAGGAGTATGCTTATCCCTGCAGGAAAGGGGAAGGAAAGTAGCCTTTATCGAGTACCTCTTCTGTGCATTGTTAGATCTTTCACTTATGCAACCGATATTTATTGAGTGTCTAAGAGGCAGGCAGTATGCTGGGTGCTGGCCATAAGCCTTATATGGTACCTTCCCTAATGGAAATGACATGCTATTTCATATATTCCACAAGATAGCCTTCCAAGGTAGATGAACTTATTACCAGTTTACGCAGCAGCAGGTTCCCAAGGGCATGCAGGTAGACTCCAATTCTGGCATTTGTGAAACTAAGACATGCTAAATGTCAGTGGGTATCAGGGTTCTGCTCAGTCAGTGTGGGCTTTTTGTTATCTCTATTATTGTTAAAAACCCTCTTAGGCCCTGCTATTTGGGTTTAGGGATAAGGCAGCTTGTCCTAGGTATCTGTACTTAGTTGTGGGATGACACTCCAAGACTGGAATTTCAGACTCAATAGCCTCATTACGCCCTGCCTGGAGTCTCCTGGCAAAATGGTGAACCTGTTTGTCTTTTGTATGTCTGTCTCATCTCCCTGTAAAAGGAAGTAATGACAGCCAGCTCCCATAGCTTAACTCTGGTAAAGGATCTAGAACTAAAGCCCTTGCCCTACCTTAATTGAAGGGTGGAAACGCTTCTTTCCTTAAATTGGCTTCTTCCCTCAGGGATTTGGACTTTGCCCTCTGGAGGTAGTTCCTTAGGAAAGTCAGTCCCTGAATTACCCACCTGGAATGTTGTATATGTGACCTTCTCCAAGGGATGGAAGTGTTTCTTGGTACTTTCCAATGGGAATGTGGGTGAGGGCCCAGGTGGGTCAAGCCACTTTGGGATATATGTCCCAGGAGAAAGAAAGCCTGTAGCCTGGTAGAAACATTGCTGAGAGCAACGAACAGGGTGTAGGTCTTTTGCCTATTTCTGTCTTCTTTAATATGGATGTATGCTTAATTGAAGTACCTTAGTATCTTTTGGAGATGTTGGTGATTCTGTGTTTTTTTTGCGGGGGAAACCCCATTAGAAACCCCAACCATGGAAATTTTTAGTAATCTTATACAGGTCCCAAAGAAGTGTCTTGGGGCTCCCCCTTGTAGCACCCACTTCTGCTGGGTATACATTTTAGACTGCTCTTAAAACACCATCACCATCACAGGGTTTTTCGAACTTCCGAGGAATAATTTCCCCAGTAGCCTCATGGAACCCTGTAGCTCTTGTTGAAAATCACCCAGGTAATTTTTCAGGAGGCCCCAGTGGAACTTGAAGAGTTTCCTTGACTTTAATGTGGGCAGGCACCACCACATAAGTCAGTTGTTAGTTGTTCCTTCCCTCAGCAGCTCTCTGTCCTGAACATCCTCCTCTAGGCTGACTCCCTGCTTATTCCAGCACCCTCAGCCTTCCCTCACAGGGCTTTCTTTCAGCAGTCATGGTTTTGTCTGGGCTTAGCATGGATAAATTTAGGGTAATTCCCCATAAGTTGCTCTTCTACAGAAATATAATCTTCTTCTACCTTAATTAAGGAAGGGCCCTTCCTCCCCACCCAACCTAATTCTAGAGTCCTCCCTAAGAACTCCCTATCTTTTCTTTGAAGGAGTCAGTTAGGTCTGGATCCTCTTCTCTTCTGTCCCTCCCAGCCGGCAGTCAGTCTGTCTTTCTCCATTCCCAGTTGGCAGACCTGAGTTAAGACGATCCCACTGGGTCTTCTTGTTTGGCGTAGGGAAGAAAAGACATAGGAGAATATGATCACCAACTTCTAATATCCGATGGAAGAATATCTGACTTGAGCATTTTTGAGTGGTATTGTACGCAGCAAAACTTGGATAAATGATGGGAACCAGCAGTTAGTGTAATGGCTATGTCGCGGGACTCCCACGTAGTCAACCGCGGTTTGCGTCCCGGACCCGGTGGCTTAAAACTCCCGCCGGGCGTGTGTGCGTGCATGCCCAAGATCCCAAGAGGAGAATAGAGAAGGGATTGCGGCGTGATCATACCCCCTGGGGGTTGATTTCTCACTTTCTGTCTCTATATCTCTCTCTTTCTGTCTCTCTCTGTCTGTCTGGCGAGCGCACGCGCCCTGTAGCAAAAACCTCTCCAAAAACTTGGATAAATGAAAATTAACAGTGGTCAAGTTTAAATTAGGGCAGAGAAGACATTTCTGATTTATTCTAGTCCCAGTTCAGGAGCTTCTTTTAGGGTAGAATCCACATCTTGTCTATACTTATTTCCTAAGCACTGAGCAGAAGTCTTAAGCACAGAAAGAGGTAACAATAAATTTCTGAAGAAATAGACCTCTATCAAAAACCAGAATAACAATTGGGGAGTAACCCTTTACCTAGTCATTCATTCATTGGTTCAAACAATGTTTATTGAGCTCCTTTTATGCACCAGGCTGTCCTAGGTACTGGGAGTACAGAAGTAAACAAAACTATGTTTCTGTCTTCAGGAAGCTCACATTCTAGTGGGGAGAGACAGACAATAAATACATAATTACATATATGTCAGGTGATGACTAAATGTCACAAAGAAAATAAAATAGATTGGGGTGTAGGATATGCCTAGCAAGGGAGGGTGGAGCTGTGATTTGAGTGATCAAAGGTGTGGGGAAACAAAAAGTGGCATCCTTCCACCTTTCTAAGTT